TGTTTCATTCTCCTTGGCTTTATTCCTTTTTCCTCAGTGCTGCCTTCCTTTCATATAGCGCTTAATTCAGAGTCATGCTTAATGAAAATTACAGCCTCCAATTTGGGAAGACTTTTCCATCGAATAGATACTGGTTAAAATTCCTCACTACCGTATTAGGAGGACGTTGCATGTTGCTATTATTGCATTGCTATTGCCATTGTATTACTATTACTATAGTAATGTCTACTGGTATGTTTTCTGCCATTATACTTGCATTCTTCTGGAGCAGAGTTCTGCGAATTAAGAGAGATTCTGGGGCTATTCAGGAAGTTCTGGTTCAGATTTAATATTCTACTAGACTTTATTATAATTAATCCCCAAAAGTGTGGGGGAAGGGATGAAGGAAAAGGATGGAGAGAGGAGACTTACATGGGAAAAAAAAATAGAACTAAAGCAGGCAGCAAATAACACATGATAAAAGGTTTGTGCAAAAAAATAATATTCTGAGACAAAAGATGATGAAGAAACAGAGCTTAACTAGAAGAAAATGTCAATCAAGAAAATAAAGGAATTAAGAGAGATTACATGACTCTTGAAATTAAGGCTTCTGCTTGTACAGTAAAATTGATTTAACAGGCTGCTGTTTATGGGACTTCAGATGCAGCAAACAAAATCTGGATCCAGACATTTCCCTGAAATAGCAGACTAAACTTGTATTAATGATTCACTTAAACGTATGTTATTTGCATCAATTTCCATCATTTGTATAGTAATGCAAATTACAACATTACCCAGATGATGTAAATTAACATGGACTACATGGAGAATTTGGATTTAACAGGCATTTGGGACTAACGGACATCCCTCTTCCCCTTCTTCCCTTTGGTCAGTTAAAGTTGCTGTGTTAGGAAATGTTTTCATCTTTAAAAATATAAATTGTTGGAAATTGCTCTGATTTCATTAGAACATAAAAACAATGTCACTAGATAGAATTTAGGATAACTTTACCGTTGAAGTGAGCAACCTTTGTTTTTTTGGCCTAGGCGGCACACGTAACAGCATGCCAATGGTGGGGGGAGGGAGGGTAAGGCCAAACAGAAATGGGACTGCCGCTTTTTTTCCTGGCACGTTCTTTTCCCATTTGTTACAGTAGGTAGAAATATACTGCTTTTGCCCAAAATGTGGATTGATTCTTTTCCAAGGGGCATTTGAAGTTTGGCTAAATCACCTAAAATTAGACTAAGATTTCCAACCACTGCTTTAGAAAAACCATAAGTAATAAAGTAGCTCACCATTAAGGAGTTTGAGGGAAGCTCTTTCTTAAAATTCAGTAATTGCCCAGTCATTGATTTTTTTCTATCTCTTCTGCTATTAATAAGATGAAGCTAGCCTGCTAAAGGGCAGGAATGGAGGAGATTGTGGTTAGTCCATTGGTTTTTCTATTAATTCACCTTTGCCTTGGCTTGAGAATAACATAGTCCACAGCCTTTGTTATCCACAGTTCCGTTACCCCTGGTTTCACGGATCTATGCTTGGTAAATACAAATGATCCCTCATTGTCCATGGTCAGGGGTTCATGTATCAGCAGTTTTTGTAACATTATTTTGTTTGGATGAGTCTATTTTGCATGCCTTTGTAAAGTTATAGATGTGCAAAAAATGTGTATTTTTTTTCAAGAATTCATTTTCTGGGGGTATTAGGCTGGAAAAGAAGCCCTACAAATTACAATGGTCCCCTGCATTATAAAGGTAGCCCTGTATCGTGAGAGAATGAACAAATGATCAAAGGAAGTATGAAGGACGGCCAAAGCAAGAGGAAAACAGTGCAAGATCACCAAACTCACATTTAGGCATCAGTGGATAACGGAATTCATAATATTCCCTTTTTGTTTATTAACAGTTTTTACAGCCCACTCCAATCTGAAAAACTAGTCAGGTTGCAACCTGCATTGCAGGTAAACATGGCTCTTAAAAATAATGTAATGAGCCATTTGGGGGCAAATATTCCTCATCCCTCTCAAATCTTTAGATGGCAGTTTGGGATATATAGAACTGAAATGTGAGCTTTTACTGGCATAAACACCCTCTTTTTTCTTTTCCCTCCTTTTCCCCCAAATAGGAGTATTCATGGGGCCCCAGCCTTTGCCCTTTGCTGCGCAGCCGTCAGCTCATTTTCAAGCATTTCCAGCCATGGGAGGGCCCGTGCCTGTGCCTGTACCGGTGCCGTCAGCCCCTGCAATGATGGGAAACATGATGGCCCCACCAGTGCCTGTAATTGGACAGAATGTAGGCATGATGGTGAGCATGGGAATGCCGAACGGCTTTTCAGTCACTACACAAACTGCTGGTTTGGGACTCCCTCAAAACATCGGTGGGCCCCAAGGAACAGTACTGGGGCAGATAGCCCCGCCACGGAAATTCGGCATGCAGCAAACACAACAAACTCAGTGGAACCTTTCGCAGGTGAGAATGTGTTTTTTCTGTTCATATAGGAAGGAACACGGATGGCTGGAGAATTTAGGTTTAGGATTAAAGTGTCAGTGGTTGGGATTAATTAAATGGAAACAATTAAGTAAAGCAGCATATTAAAATGATACAAAGTTCGCTATAAAAGATAACCCTCCCCCCCAATCTGATCTTTTCCCCTTCTAGTTATGTACTTGAGAAAACTAAGTGCAGATCCATGCTTTCTGCTTGGCCCATCACTCACTGCTGTCCTCCCATTCCCAGCCCACTGCAAATGCATCCTGCATTGTTTTTTCCAACTTGGGGGCAGGTGGGGGGCGACAGAAAACTACTGTTTTTTGACCGGAACTGTATTGAGCCCTTCAAAGCAGATGGCCTGAAGAGCTTTGTTCCATTCTAGTGCCTGACACATCCCCTCTCTCCAGCATCGGGTTGCTGCCATGGGCAGCTGCTAGGCAGTTGCTGATTTTTTTTAAAAAAAATAATCTTGTAGTTGATCCAGTGATGTACTGTTAAGTCAGTGAACTATCCTCAATCCTAAAAGCTCATGCTCCATTCAATCTTAACATTTCTCAGAAGGAACCCTTTCGGTTTCTGCCCATCCGCTGCCTGCAGTACTGCCAAGCTTCCTTTCCCTTTTTTTCTAACATCTTTAAATTGCAACCTAGGAATATTGCTACTTCTTTTCTGTAAAGCTGCTAAAAAGTTTCTGTCGACCTACCCATAAATGTAGGTGCAAAAGAATGATCTATTCTGTTTTTATTCTTGTAGCATCAGAGCAACATGGAACCATAACGGGGAAAAAAGAAAATAGAAAAGACCTGCATTAATATCAAAGGGGGAGTGAAGGCATCCATGTGTGCAAACATCTTGGAAAGCAAAGAAAGGGACAGGGAGTAGTGAGAAGGGAACAATCCTAAAAAGGAAGAGGCAGGCACTGATAGAGTTGTCCACATAGGAGCCAGCCAACAAACCTTGGCTTCTCCAAATTTCATTGAGAGATAGAGGAGATTCTTTAGTGCAGAGGTGTTCATTATATAAATTGGGGGTATTAATATGGCCTATGATGATTTTCATTTTTTTTTTTAATATCAGTTCTTGGATTGGGTCTGTTCATTGTGGTTTGTGCTTTTTCAACTTGATTGTGACTGCCAGATTCCCATACCTCTAATATAGTTTTAATTTAGAGAACAGAGGACCAAACATGACATACAAACTCTTGAAGATGCAGGTGGCTAACTTGCTGTCTCTTATGTGCTCCAAGTCCGTAATTCCTGAAGATTGGCTATGCTGATTGGAGCTAATAAGAAAGTCAAAAATCCTTTCTGGTGGACGCTTTTGGAAAAAGCCTCTAGAGGGATGGGAAGGCAAGATCTGATCAAGAATATTAATAGGTTTTCAGAACAAGAGAGGCCTGCAATAGAATATGCTTTTTCAGCGTCCAGTCATTGCACTCCATTCTAATCCTTCTCCTCTGGTTTTGTTGCCTCCCATTCCCTTAAATTCAGCAAGATTAGGCCACTGTTTTTCCACCTCTTGACTAGTGGATATTTTCTGAATAATTTACATTTTGACCAATTTATTTCTATTAAATTTAATTTTTTTTAATTTAATTTTTACACCACCTGACTCCCAGCGACGCTGAGTGATTTACTTTGCCTTTGCATCTATGTAACTACAGTCTCTTCGATCTAAATACTGCCACAGCAATGATACATTAAACTAGGTGGACTCGAGCAAGTCCTTTTACTTACTAAGAGGCAAATTTTGGTATGTCATGGGGTTTCCCTTTAGTACTCACATATTCTCATAAAAGGTATTTAAAATACATAGTTACCAGATTTGATCTTTTTATCTGGAACATGAGTATTATGTAAGTGGCAGAATGTAACTGTCTATATTTACCTTTTAACTAAAAACCATTCCATTTGCTGCCAGAGTGCTACTTCAGTGCTGTGATATACTCTGCAGGAAACAGTTCCTTGAGTGTGATTACTTTCCATGCCAGCATTGCTACTGATAGTACAGGAATTGCGACATTGATCACTCAACCATGATTATTACCTGCAGATATTAGTGGAACAACACGACAGGCACATGTTTTGCAATCTATACATTACCCCTGTATCTTCTTGGTAAAGTTCTTGATAGACAGTCCTCTTCAGAGAAATCAGAATCTACAAGTATACTGTTCAGTCAAATTTCAAACGTTTTAAAAAGTTGTATTTAGGACTACTGCCTTTCTTAAATACATTTTTTTAAAAATTTAGCTGCGAGAAATGAATGTTATAAGCAAATACTCCAGTATCTTATCTATCTGTCTGTCTATCCATCCATCCATCCTGAAGTGTGGGCTTTGGTATGAAATGTGAATGTTCTGGTGCCTGTATCTAATCACAGTCTCATGTGTGCATTTCACAGATGAATCAGCAAATGGCTGGAATGACTCTGAATAGTTCCAGTAATATGATGGGCTTTGGCCAACCACCAAACACAGTGGCAGGATGGACTGGAAGTTCCTCGGGCCAGACCCTCAGTACACAACTCTGGAAGTGAAAAGGCAATAGAAGTTTAAATCAGAGACCTGACATTCCATGCTCAAATACATCTAGTTTCCCTGTTCTATCCATGTACACTACCCCTCCTCCAATCTCAAACATTCATTTTAAAAGTAATCTTAACTGACCGTGTTGTGGTCTGTACTGACTTCAATTCTGATGTAGTGAAAAGCAAGTTGAAAACATTGGCAGCTTTTTCATTCCACAATATGTTTTGATTTTGCAAATCTTACTTTTCAGAAGAGCTACGTGACCAACTGCATACTCAAATTATTTTATCTTGTAGAGCAAATGTTTCCATATAAGGGACATAGATATCATGTTAGTGCTATCTCTAAAATGTAAATTCCACCTTGCAAATTACCCAGTAACCCTGTAGAAGGTACTGTATGAACAAAATGTTAATTATATAAATAAGAGTGTACCTATATCATTGAAGTATGCATTTCCTTGTGTGATAATGATTTTGTTTCACCATTCATTTCACTGTGATACTATAAAGATGTGATGAACAGGGAAAATGGTTCACAAGAGAAAGATAAACCTGGATAGCACTGTGGCTCCATCAATTTTCTTTCCACTGTTTGAGTTGCCTGTGTTAAAAGAAGCTGATTTGACTGCAAAGATCTATGCAGGATTAACCTGAAGTGTACTGCACAGCATACATACAGGGTAACTCAACTTATATATTTATAATTTTGTCTTTGCAGTTGTATCCAGGTTTATGCCAGTAAATTGTGTTTACATTTTATGGTGCCTCATATTGATAAGCAGTTGCTTCCCTATATTAAAGAAATCCATAAACATTGTGTAATTATTTTATTCTATAAGAACTGTGTCTATTATTAAAAACAAAGCTTTTTAAATTCAGGAATAAACCTGGAAGCCACAATGTAAAAGCTTCTCCTTTTTTTAGACTAGTAACTTATCAGTGCATTACCACCTCTTTACTGAACACGTGTAAACGAAATGTGAACAGTTAGGAAATTAAAACAGTACAGAGAAATGCATGCAAAGTAAGTGAAACCTAAGTAGATACATCTTCAGCTATCTGCCAGTAGTCTTCCATTAGGCTGCTAGAGGCTGTAGTTGTACAACAGCAATCTGTACAGTCTGAATATGGTAAGCATGTCTGATGCATCCATTAAGTATGGTATGTCCCATTTATGCTGCCAGATCACACTTCAATTCTGATATTGTCCAGGTGATACTTTGGCTCATTAGCTAGATTTACCTTTTCTGTTCTAGTATGCCATACAAGAACCTGGAAAAAGTTGAATAAAAACATTAGTTTGCAATAATTCTCCAAAAGTGAGTTGGGGACTAATGCCCATTGTAAAAAGAACAATACTGATACCTTTGTGCAGTTGCTGGCTTTGGGCTCCAGCTCCTCCATTGTGATAATTTGTCTCAGAAAGTCAGATTCCTGCATCCCAGGTTGTGAGCCGTGGCGTCTAAATACAGCTTTAGGGTTGGATAAAATCACCTGAAGGCTTACAGCAAACCCTTTGGAAATCAAATATTGAATAATTAAAAACATTTCATAAATATTTCACTGAACTTTAGAATTAATGGGGGGGGGGCGTTTAACCCTACCATTTCAAACAAATCCCCAAGTATTTACTCAGTATCACGCAATGGTCTATCATGATATTACATATGCAAACTAACTGGTATGCTACAGGCCACTTTTATTCTGAAAAGTTACAAGCTGTGTTCCTCCCAATCTGTTTAACAACTTTACACAGTTTGTTAAAATGTAAATAGTGACATTATCATCAGCAGTTGGAGTTTCTGTATGAGGAAAAGCCTGGCTGGAGGGGAAAGGTGAGTTTTAAAAGGACCAGACCAACCAATTTTCCTTCCCTGACACCATCTTTGTAATTAATTTAAAATTTAAGCCTGAGGTGAATGTAATTGTTAAGAGAAAAATAAATCTGACTGAATAAATTTACATGCAGACTTTTTTTTCATTTACACTAAAGCCAATACCCGTGTCATGACAACTTTAATATATAAAATAGCCTATCCTTAAATGATGTAATTCTTAAGTGATAACAAACCAGATTCTTAAAAAGTACTGTTTATTACAAAGTACCTCTGGTTTTGTTCATCTTCCCTTTAAAAAATTCAGCTGATTTGTTGCAAGGAGTGCCTCTCTATAGAGAAGCACATGCAACTTGCAACCTTTGAGACCTTAACCAAATTATACTTTTTAATGGGACACTAGAAAAAAGTATTAAATAATTGGAAAGTAATTTCATTAACTATATTCTATTTTATTCAATTTCAAGTTTAGTTTTTGTCTTGGCCCCACTACTTTTAGGAAAGTAGTCCTTAGCCTTCCATTCCAAAAACTGAGTGTAGTCCAGAAAATTTTGTGCAGCCCTGGAGTAAAAATGGCATTTCATCCTTAACAGTATTTCTATTAAAGCTTTTAACTTAAATATGAGGAATATAGCAAACATTAGTGCAAGTAAGTCTTAACACAATTGGGACTGGAATTTAGGTCACTAAGCAATGTGGTCATTAAGCAAATCATCACATGACTGGACCCAATTTTATGACCTTTTTTGTGGCAGTCAAGTGAATCACGCAGTTCCCCACTGATTTTGCTTGCTGGAAGCTGGCTGGGAAGGTTGCAAATGGTGATCACGTGACCCCAGGATGCTGCAACTGTTAAGTGCGAGCTGATTGCCAAGCACCCAGATCATGATCACGTGACCGCAGAGGCACTGTGACAGTCATAACTCTGGGCACTGGTCTTAAGTCACTTTTTAGTGCTGTCATGACTTTGAATGGTTGATAAACGGTCGTTAAGCAAGGACTACCTGTACCATCTAAATATATTTTGAAAAAATACTACATTTAAAACATAGTAATCTATATATGATGTGATCCTTGATATTCAGCAACTGTTGGTTCTCAAGTTTGATCTGAAATTGGTATGGAGCTGCTTTAAAAAAATGTTATCGCATCTAAAGACTACAATCTTTATATGATTCTCTGGCTGTTAAGTCAGAAAGCTCTTAAAAGATACAAGAACAAAAACTGATGCCCCACATTCATCAGTATTTTTATTCTTGCATCCATTTTATGTTAGCTGTAATGGTACCCATCTACAAGAGTTCTGTATTAGAAAAGACACAGAGGCGTGCTGTTATCTGAGTAACGTGTTGCACAATCTCTTGCACAACATCTCAACATTGCATGGGACTGCAATGTACTGTTCCATCTCTTGTAGATCTCTTTCATTAGCTCTTCTGAAGTAGCACTTACTTCCAGTCTTACTTTAAGATGAAAGGAAAGCTTATGGAGGAAAAGAAGAAAGGTGATTGGACTTAAAATTAAGGGAAGGAGAAAGAAAAATTAACTTAGGGAATGTTTGTAATATTCTCTTGCTCCTGATAAATGTTACATTCTTTTATCATCTTCAAGGTATTACTGGGACTCTTACATTCTGACTGAGTCTCCTATTCACTGCTCACACATAACTCCTTACAGCCATTATCCAGAAAAGTTGGTAGTCTGTATTCTTTCAAATAAAGCTGCAGCTAGAATTGTGTATGGTGTAATTGCAGCCTTTTGGCTTTCAAAAACTTGAAAGTTATATATGTCTTTAACAGTTGTATTAGTTTTAAAAATACCGAGAATCAGTAGCTTTTGCAGCACAAGGAAGAATATAACTCTTCCCCCATTAAGTCCTGAGTGGGAAGTTCAAGATGGCCTTTGGCTTCACTTATGAACAACTTACTTTATGTAGGAATTAATGTGTGAAATCTGAGCTACAAATGCTAATTTGTGACAACTGTTTTTGCTGCACATATTAATATGCGGGTAATGGAAGTTCCAGAGCTGTTGAAAGAAGTTGAAGAAAAAAACACTGTTAAAAACAGAATAAGTCTACAGGAAATCATCTCTACAACTCTGCCAAAAAAAAAAAAAAGTCCCCAGGCATTGAGCTCAATTTGAGGGTGTCCTTACTTTTTAATGGGAAGCCAAAATTAGTCACAGCTTCCAAGAATATATACAGAATGGCTGTGTTCAAATATCTTTACCTGGTTTTAGTGAATACAGTGTTATGTAAACATACCAACCTTCTACTCCATAACCTTATTCTAGAAACCAACCTAGGTCAATTTAGTCTCAACCTGGGGCTTTTTAGAGCTGAACTGACCCTTCATGCATCAGCCATGTCATCTGAGCAAGGTAGAGAGTATGAATCCGTTCTTCTGACTTCCAAAGAGACACAGGTGGGTGGGGTGCAATAGTTCACCAGCTTCCTTCATAGTGGCCCCAAGGACTCAGACTGCCAGTTGACTGGGTCATCGGTAGTCAAGTACCATTAGCACAGGGGACGAATCAGTTCACCAAGGGAGCAGCTTGATCAGCTAAGTCATGCAAATCTAGTCCCTGAGGAGTCTTTATGCAGGATTGTTGCATATAACAGCCTACATTCAATCAGGTTCCACACTGGTTTCTATACAGTATCCACCTAAGAATTTGACAGTCACCTCTATGACTGAATGCAAGCTATAGACCTGATTCACACACTCTACTAGGTCATAAAGTGATTTGGTTAATTTTGACATAGCTTGTTATATAAACTCAGCCATTGTTTATAAAGCATGGCTTATGGCTTTGCACATTACTTATTTATTATGATTATTTATATCTTGTCTTTCAGAATAACAATCTTCCCAAAGCAGCTTACAAGCAATATAAACAATTTTAAATGAAAACAAAGACATTTCTAGAATCCTTCTCATAGAATAATTTATGATAAGGGCCTGAGGAAAGGGAGAATAGAAGCTGGGGGAAATCAACAAATTAGGGTTTATTCAGTAAACATGATTAAACAAACTATGGCTTAGAGCATTGGACCATTTCAATTTGCTCAATATTACTCATAATGACCAAGTACACAGGCTAGTGCTGAAGTGAAGTTACCCTCAGTAATTCTCCCACTATTGTTATTTTAATTTGCTAAGCATTTTATAGAAAGTTTTAAATGAGCCAGATCATTTCACCAGCAATGCATGAATAAATTACAAAGCAAAAAATACAAACCAAATCAAATACGTATTGCCCCTTCCTCTATGCTCACCACTCTCCTACCCACACACTCACCAATGAACCGAAATACGAAGCTTTATAGCTGCGCAGGCATAGATCTGTGACTACATCAAAAGCAATTCAGACAGCACTTGAAAGGCCTCTAGCATACACAAGAGACTGGCCAAGCACGCGGGCTAACTGCTAGCCAGAGCCATGCAGTCTGTGATACAGCTAAAGATTGACAAGATTAATTTTTGAAGTGTTCTGCTTTCTCGGCTATTGTCAATTTCTCCCTTAAGCAAAGTGTTTCAAGCTATTATCTGCCTATAAGTCACTCTAGCCATGGCTTTCTGGCAGTCTGCGCAAAATTATTCACTTTTTGATGAACTAGCAGCTTTTACTCTTAAGGGCACAGCAAGTGCCTCTTAGTTGGTAGAGTATGTTGCCTTCCAAGACAGTTTCTAGATTAGAGATCCTTTCAGGAAAAGCAGCATCAGCACAGATAAGATTAAACTGGGCTTTGATGGGGCTTGTATACTGGCCAAGATGTCCAAAAATGTGTGATACAGTTCATAAACTGAGCAGGGAATCCTGCGTCATATGGATACAATTAAACTTAGTAACCTAGGCTCTTCCTTTGGTACTTTACTAAAAATGTTATATGAAAGCTTTAATTGAACAAACCTGTGATGGGCAGTGGTCTCTTAAAAATGGTCATCGAATGTTGTCAGGGATGCTCCTGACAATAAAAGGCAGTTAAAGTTACTGAATTAAAATTCATAGTTGATTAAGATGTCAACCCCAGCAATATCTACAAACTTCTGCCTGAAGCTCTTGCAGATCAGAAAGGTGCTGCTGATAAATAAGCATTTTAAAAGCTGAACAATCAGAATTCTAAGTGAATCTTTTCACAATAAGACCCAGAAGTTTGTATGCTTGTACTTATTACTTCAGTAACTAGAAATGCTAGTATCTAGCGTGCACATTCTATACAAATAGCTGAGACTCTAGAGTTACTCACCTGCCATATCAATGGCAAAAGGCCTACCTGCCCGCCAACCAGTGTACCAGCCAACAACCTTGCCTTTTTCCACAATTGGGCGCTCGTAGCGTCGTCCCCCCACCAGCCCTACAGGCCATACAGAGACTTTATGAGTGGTACGCATCTATAAGAAGAAAGCAGAACATTTTTTTCAAAACAGATTCTTTACAAAGAGGCACCATGGAAAGAATAGTCACAATTTTTAATGGCAGGGCTCTAAGTACTGTCTCTTTCCTTACCTAATACCTTCCAGATATATTCTGACTAAAAGTGACTCCAAAGTTTCCCAACTCTGTCTCAGGAAAACATGCCAACTGCAAGCCTTTTCCTAAACCAGTCTTTCTCAATCTTAGTAACTTTTAAGATGTATGGGCTTCAACTCCCAGAATTCCCTAGCCAATATCCTGGCTAGAGAATTCTGGGAGTTGAAGTCCACACATCTTAAAGTTGCCATGACTGAGAAACACTCCTCTAAACCTTAATTAGCACTACCAACAGTTCTGATTTTGGGCGAATGAACAACTGCAGTTAGTTAGAAATAGCTGTAAAGGCTTTAGAGGATGGCCAGAGAGGAGGAAAGCAATCAAGCACAATGCTTGTACAGCTTGTTCTGAAGTGTTAAATTGTTGATTTATTGTTGGTTCTTAATGTAGTCATTCTAGCATGATCAGATGTTTTTGGAAATCACATTTATATGACTTACGTCTAAAGCAGAAAAGATCAACTTCATTAAATTCGGGATGTTCCATCTATTCTGAAAGGCATTCCACAATGGTACAAACATTTTTCTAGATAGAAGATCCCATTAGGAGACACACTCCAAAATGTAGAGGATGAGCTTATGACAAAATCTTTTTTTTTCTTCATTTCTATTTACATTTAATTCTGTAAATCTAATATGATTATGCTCTCTCCATATATGTATTCACAGAATCAGGAAAGATAATAGTAAACTTTTATATTCACAAAATAATAGAATGTAAACATTGGCAGATCATCAAGTCCAATCCTTTGCCAGTGCAAGATTTATTTTAAAAACCATGTCATTAAAGGATTATGTCATCAATGCCTGTCTAGATGTCTTCAAGGTGACCACATTTTGTCATACCCTAGTTAGTTGTGA